CATGGGACTCTGCTGGGTACCTGTAGTTTGATTTACACACAGATATTGTTTGAGGTCTGACAATGAAGCTCGTGAATTCATCCTAGAAAACGTGCTACATATCCCAGTGCTCTGGTTACCTTTGAAGGGCTCCCTATGGAAAGCTGTGCACCAACGCCAGCACCTAGTCCACCCTCAAAGCGATTCTGGAACTCCTTTTCTGGAATGGCCATCGGAGCTGTCGTATTATCTTTGATGTCTTCAGTGTCATCTTCTTTTCAGAGTTTCCTTTATCTTTGGGTAAAGAAAAAAGTCATTGGGGACTAGATCAGGTGAGTAGGGAATGTGTCTCAAAACAATTATTTGTTTATTGGCTAAAAATGCCCTCACAGTGCTGTGTGAGCCTGGGGCATTGTCATGATTTGCACACACCTTTTTATGCCAAGATTTTCAGTTAAGATTTTTCTAACTTTCTCAGTGTTTACTTGGTCTACTGTGCTTCTCATAGTCAGCTGACAATATTGATGCAGAATTCCTTGAATTTTTGCGCTGTTTTCATCAGTTCTGCTTGTTACTGCCTACCTTTACCACTCTTCATCAGTGATGCATTCTCTCCCCTCAGAAAAATGTCTAATCCATTTGTACACTGCCATTTTCTTCATGGCCTTATCCCCATCAACTTGGGCTAACATGTCCCTGATTTGACTTTCACTCTTAACAAGTTTAACAAGAAATTTATTGTATATGTGTTGCTCTTATTTAAGCTCTGAGATTTTTGAGATAGCATACAAAACCATGCAACAATAATGAATGCCACTCAGCAAGGCACCGCCACAAATTGGCATAAACACATCTGTGAGACACTGGTATACCAACGTTATGGACCGTTACCAAGTTGTTTGTACAGCGCTGCCCATGTCGGTACATGGTGGCAAGTTTGTAAACTTAATTGCCAGACCTTGTATATTTATAAGTTTTTGAAACAAATAGAGCATTTTATTTGTATATGTGTACTGTTTTTGTGATTTGTCTTTTTTACTCAATATCACATTGCTGAGGTTTTTACATACCGTACCATTGGGTCTATGTTGTGTTATTTTAAGGGTGCAAATTAATATAGCATTATTGCTAACAAATTTAAACTATGTTAATAAAGTAAAATTCCTCTTTGAATTCCATGCAATCCCATTTCACTCTCCAGCGGCAGCCTCTGTTACCAGTATTATGTATACTTTGTCCTTTTTGATTTTTTAAGTGTATTTATATACATATATGAAAAATACAGATACACATATGGTTTCGGTGTGACTTTTTAAATTGTTGCTTTAGTTTTCCTGCTGCTTGCTTTTTTCACTTAGCAGCATACCTTAAAGATACTATCTTATTGGTACTTGGATATCTACATTTTTATGTTACCTTCCATGCTGTTGATTAACCACTGCTAATGTAACCATTGCTGCTGGCGAATATTTACATTGTTTCCATTATATGGCCATCATAAACATTATTACAGTAACCATTCCTATACATGCATACATCTTTGTGTACTTATTTAAGTGTTCCCTAGTAGACAAAAAAAAAAAGTATTACTGCACTGATGGGGTATGCGTTTTGTTTTCATTGAGAACTGCCAGATATTCCCCAAAAAGCTCTGTACCACTTTAGTTTTTTACTATTGGTAAATTTTCTATATCTTTAGTATTGAGTATTTTTTTTTCTTTTTAGAGACAGGGTCTCACTTTGTTGCTCTTAGTAGAATTCTGTGGCATCACAGCTCACAGCAACCTCCAGCTCTTGGGCTTAGGTGATTCTCTTGTCTCAACCTCCCGAGTAGCTGGGACTACAGGCGCCCGCCATAATGCCCGGCTATTTTTTGGTTGCAGTTTGGCTGGGACTGGATTCAAACCCACCACCTTCGGTATATGGGGCCGATGCCCTACCCACTGAGCCACAGGTGCTGCCCTACTATTGAGTATTATCAGTTCTAAAAGTTTTCTGATCTCATAATTTTAATACTATTATTGCTTTTTATTGTTTTAACTTTTATTGCCTATTTTTATTTTGGGTTACTTTTTCTTTTACTAACTTATAGATTTTTTTTTAAAGTCCTGTTATGTGTGTTGCAAATGTTTGCTACTCCTGTGTTACCTGTTTGGTTAGTTTATGATCTATTTTATCACATTAATATATTTAATTTTTAAGTAGTCAAATAATCATTCTTCATAGCTTCTTTTTTTTTTTTTTTT